TAAAGGACCAGAGAAGAACGCCGAGAAGGTTATTGCTCCTCCGGTCCTGTGGTAGTAACTTACGCGACCGTTAATCTCTACTAGTTATTAGAACTCGGGAAGTTATTACAAAAAGTACATTAAAGTTATTTATTGAACTATTCATTCCGCCTTTGTATTCTCAATCAACCGATCCCGAACCTACTCTACGTGCCCTCTCCACTTGGGGCACAACAAACTATTTCTAACAAGAATGAGAAGGAGGTTGATTATTTGGACGAGATGCCTGCCATTGTTATGAACTTAACTTCTGAAGATGGAGATATAGACGATGCGGATGTTGCTCTTATCCCGGAATAGGATGAAATGTTAGACTTACTTAAGAAAATGGACATGACAGAAGAGATAATTTAGTTAAGTTTTGTTGCTTTTAAAATTATTGAATTTATATAAAATTATTGTATTTATCTAAAAATATAAAAACGTGAAAACATGTATAAATAAATTGTTTAAATGTTATATTTTTTGTAACATTCTGCTATTTTCCTAAAATATTTATTCTTAAGCAATTTTATTTTGTTCATTTTGATAACATTATTTAGTAGCGGAATTCTCTAACGCTTAATGACGATTATTGCTATCATTAACTGTATTTATCGATCCTTGATAGGTATATACCTTTTTAGATCTAAAAATATATGCCAATCAAGAATCAATAATTACAATTAACGGTAGCGACAATTGTTGCTAAAAGTTGTTCTACATTAGTGGCCTTGTTTCGTTTAAGCCATGTGATCCAATTAGTGTTAAGCTAGCCTGATTGGGTCGCACGGCGCTTATGAGTTTGCAATGCTGCAATGCGATTAATGTAAACGACTTCAAGGAATCTACAATAAGTATAGTAAGCTTTAAGCCTTAAGAAATTAACCAATCATATTTAATTATTCTTCTCACATGCTTACCGACAGTTGTCGGATCGATAGGCGTCGTTGCGCAGCTTTTTTAGGGAGGGTCCCGATTGCCCACAGTACGATTGACCACAGATTGTAATGATTGGTTCGATCTGGTAATTCACTAGATAATTCTTTACATCGGTTGGTTTGTGTGCAATCATATTGTGGTTAATTGGGACGCTCCCGCTTTTTTATAAAATAGAAAAGTTGCGCAACGACGCCTACCGATCCGACGGGAGGGTCCCGATTGCCTACAGTACGATTGACCACAGATTGTAATGTTTGGTTTGATCTGGTAATTCACTAGATAATTCTTAACATTGGTTGGTTTGTGTGCAATCGTACTGTGGGCAATCGGAACGCTCCCGATCCGACAGATGTCGGTAAGCGTGTACAGAATTAAGAGCCGATTGTGACTGTAGTGTGAAAGAGTGTCCCGCGTCGACAATCGAGAGAGCGAGAGAGAGAGAGAGAGAGAGAGAGAGAGAGAGAGA